CCCCCCCCCCCATTTCACAGAGGAGGAGACAAAAGAATAATAAAAGAGAGACTTTCTTAAGGACCTACAGTAAATTAAATCACAAGGCTAGGATTAGAACTTGGGACTTCTCAGAGTCTAGAGGAGGTGGGCAGTCTGTAACACAGAAAGCATGGGCCTTTGCCTGGAGCCGGCATCCTGCTTCTGGTGCCTACACCCTGCTGTGTGACCTTGAGTAAGTCACCCAATCTTTCTGGGCCTTAGTTTCCTACCTGAAAACACAAAGAAGAATGGAGAGGGGATGAGGGTACTTGGATTCATTTATCTCTAAGGTACATCATGGTTCAAAAAAACTAAGAAGGCAAAATATGTGGAGGACCTGGCACGTTGAGCCCCTCAAAACACAGGTAGGGCAGGACTTGCCTCGATGTGGATCCACTTGAACCGGGTCAGATCAACCTTGTCAAAGTCCGCAGCAGACACATCTGGCAGGTTCCTAAGTCATAGGACAGAAACGACAGAAAAGGCATGATGGTGAGGTCAGCCAAGGCTGGGATCTCTAACTGGTTGCTGGAGCCCCTTTGCCTGGTGCTGCCTGCAGCATGGCCAGAAACTACATCTACAGCACAGGCTTCTACAGCACAGGCTTCTGAGGCTCAGCTCCAGGATAGGCGCTATTCCAGGCTAAACTCCTGACCACTCCTTGCCCCACTCAGTTCCATCCAGACAGGGGATTAGAAGCAGTTTGCTAGAATGCCCTTTGGGTGTTGGAGGCTGTGATATTTTCTAAGGGTAAACTCAACTGCAGCATGTGACAAGAGGCCAGTTGAGTGCCTTGGAGACCACATCTCCCAGAATACTCTAAGAGCACCAGGGACTACAATTCCCAGAATTCCCCGCCTTGCCAGCAGCACACACAGCTCCCAGCATGCAATGCCCTGGTGATCTACAAAAGCTATGGCTGCTCTGGGTCTGGTCCTGTTCACTTCTGGCGTCCCAGCCGTGACAGCACCACCGTTCTAAGTTCGGCGGCTCTGTGTTACAACTCCGAGGTCAAGGTTGGTGCTTGAGGATGAGTTTTTGTTTGGCTGACTTAGGTGTGGAGCCCTGGGAAGGGTCCGCCTTGACCAGTGAGCTACACCTAACCTATATTCCTCCCGCTCTGCAGCCGAATCTATCCAGTTAACTAGCTGAGTACCTGGGCCTTTCTGAGGCTGCTTCTCCATTTGGTAGATGGGTCCAAACCCACCAGCTTGTTGCAGTTGAAGGTAACGTGTGCGGATCTCCCTACACTGAGGCCAGAGGGCAACAAACGTTTCTCCTTGGAACTCCTCTCCTTCCCTTCCTGTGGATACCCATGTGGTGTCCTTGATCAAAGTTGCTACAGATTGTTACCTGATGGGCAGAACACTAGGATTGACCAAGGTGAAGGTCATTGCTTGCATATATGCCCACTCACTTATTCATTGCGACACACTGAGCCCAGAGACCACTGGCCATAAAGCTTGTCCTAGGATAATTGCCCCCTCTTCCCCAGGTCCAGTAGTCATGCCGGGCAGTAGGGACAGCCTGAACCCCAGGGCTGCTGGGTGTGGACCACCTCAGCCCTAACATAGTACCTGGCACATGCTAGATTCTTAGTAAGCTAAATGTCTGAGATTCTTCAGGAGGCAATCTAGGGGAGACAAGAAGGGTCTGGGCCCACAGGGCCTCTCCCTAGCAGCTTGGGACTTTAAAGGGATTCCCTCCCCCAGTTAACATGGCATCAGATGGCCCTGATCTGCTGACCCAATGTTCCCCTTCCCTCTCTTCAGCAACAGCTGTGAATTGTGTGTGGCATTTGGCCTGGCTTCATTATGCAGGGAGCTTCGCGGTGGGCTCATCTCTTCTGAACACCCAAACCCAGCTCCTTGGTGCCATGCTGCAGGCTGGCAACCCTGGGGCTGACCCTGGAAATTCCAGTGAGTCCCCTTCAGGGCTTCAGATGGTTTGAATCACACCTCCTGTCCCCCGCTCCTCAGAACAATTTCCCCACACCCATACCCAGGCTGCTGATTGGCCAATTACGGAGGAATTACATCACGAATTATGTTTTGTGCAGGCCTGCCCGCCCATCCTTGATAGTGACCGAGGCCAAGTCACCAGGCAGAACAAAGCACATCTCTTCCCACCTCACTTCTCTCCTAATTGAAAACAATTCAGAAATCACTGAGCAGTTTGGCATGAGGACAATTTCTGGTATAGAGAGAGGCAGCAGAGAGCAGGCAGTTGGGATGCCCGTGGTGGCGAGGGAGGGAACTGATTGGTGGGCCGTGCCAGGGCGAGGCCGGGGGGGCCTTACGTGTCGTAGAGCACAATGGTGCGGGAGCCATTGCAGTTGTTGATGATGCAGCAAGAGCATGGGGTTTCCCCTCTGCCCTGCCAGGCCACCTGAGACACATCCACGCCCCGCTGCCTGAAGTCGGCCACCAGGAAGCTTGAGGTGGAGCCCGAGCCAAGGGAAGGGCAAGGAGACACAAATTAGAGCCTACGAGTGGCCTGGGCCTCCCTCAGGGTTGAGGAGGGATGCCGGAGCAGGGGTGCCTCTCTGAGAAGAAGGGTCCCGTTCCGGGAGTTCGGTGATGGCGGCGGCGGCGGCTGGCAAGGTGCAGACAGGCATACAAACCTGTAGGCATGGAGGATGGTGCGGCTACCACTGGCCTCGTTGATGATGACTGTGGAGATGGGGACAGAGCCCGTGGTCTGAAAGACTGTGTAGCGTAGGTCCACAGAATAGCGGCGGAGGTCATCCAGGACAAAACTGCCGAGACGGAGTAACCCAGGGGAGGTGTAGTTCGACAGGGTTTGGGGACTGGAGGGAGGCGGCAGGGACTCCGGCTGCAAAGGGTTTGGGGACTGGAGGGAGGCGGCAGGGACTCCGGATGCAAGCAGAGGGGGCTAGGAGGGAGCCGGGAATCACCATGCTGTCAGAGGCTGTGCCAGGGGGCAGGAGAGGCAGGGGCACAGAGCCTGGAACTCAGTGAGAGAAACACTAAGGGATGTTCTTTTAGGTCCTGGCTGAGGTAAACTCCAACCCGGATCCTGTCCTTCAGTCTGACTCAAGCCAGAAAGGATGTGCTCAGTGAACCCAGATGGGGTAGATCTGGGGGCCTGGAGCACATGCCCTGTTTGAACGAAGCAGGTGAGGGCACTGTGGTCTGTCTCATGCAAAGCCTTGGCAGAACTGATAATTACCAAGGTGGTACTTCGCTCCCCAGCTGCCCTCTACACACTCATCCTCACGGTACTCTTCTCTCGGGAGTCCCTTGAGTGCTACTGGGATTTCACTCAGTCCGCGGCTGCCTCCGTGATGCCCGGCCAGGAAGTGGTGCTGCCTTGGTGAGGCCACCCACCACCCTCACCTCTCGTGGCAAGGTGAACCCCGCAGGCAGTGAGCTGGCTCCCAGTGCCTGATGCTCCTCGACGTGGGGCCTGGTCCAGGACTCTTCCCCAGAATCCCCTCTAATCAGAGTGAGTGGGAGGTGGACCCTGGGGGGGACTGCGCCACCCCCACGCTTCCTGGCCGCAGCGTCTCTGAAAGTGTCCTATGACCGCTGGTCCGGCCACCATCTTGGCCTTTCTCACGCTGGCTGGACAATACAGATTTGTATATAGGCATCAAGCTGGGGCATCATTCCTCATCGTACACCTCAAAGATCCTTTAAATAGTAGGATCCCTCCAAAGCATGCAAACTACAGGGTGGTTTTCCAAATGATTTTTTGCACCCTCCGTGCCTAGCACGTGGTAGGTGCTCATTAAATGCTTGCTGAACAAAGGGGGAGAATTTGGAATGGCTTACCTAACGGCATTATTGTTCCAGAAAGGTGAGTCTACCACCCTAAGCCAGAGGAACAGGAAGGAAGACAGCCACTGAAGAAGGTTGACAAGTGGCCAGCTATTGGCACCAGGTCCCTCTGTCCCACCTCACAGGGCGGGCCCTTGCCCACTGATTTGTGCCGGATCACCGAGGAAGAGAATCTGGCCACAGCTCAGGGGGCTGGGCTCTGGCAGCAGCCCCATGAAACCAGGGTTCAAAGGGCTGTGCTTCACAGGCCAGCAACCTGGCAGCCTGCCCTAGTGCCCACAGTGGGCAAAGTGTGGGTCTCACCTCCTGATAAGCGTTTGCTGAGTCGGTGGGGCCAGGGGTCAAAGGGCTCTTGGGTCCCCACAGCAGCCAACATGGAGAAAGTGTACGGGCCACCTACGGGCTGCAGCCTCACAGCCGGGGAGCTGGGAGGCCTGGGCCTGGGCCCAGCTTTAGCACGTGGCTTCAGGGTGTCCTCGGCAGGCTGCTCTTGTTGCTTTAGTGAACCACGGGGACACAGCAGTGGCCCTGCCCCCTCAGCTGGGGAAGAAACCGTGGGCCTGAACCCTAGGACCATGGATGCTGGACATCCCCGAGGGAGGGTTGGGACAGCAGGTCCCTAGCTGCCTCCTGCCACAAGCATAGCCAGGATTAGGGACTTGAGAAGGGCAAAGTCACATCCATTGCAGAGTCTGTTGGAAGCAAGGAAGGAGAAGGTGGGGAGCTGAGCAGGCTCTGGGCAGTGGCCAGGGAAACAGGCTGTGGAAATAAAAGCTTTCACAGGAGAGCATTAGCACCCGAGCAGCGAACAGCCGCGCTTGGGAGGGTCTGGGATGCTGGTGCCCCACTCGTGCCCCTCCCACCCATTTCTGGTGGCCACAAACCGTTTCTCACAGCCTGCCCCCAGCCCCCCACCCCCACCCAGGGTTAAGACTTCCTTCTACAGGGCAGTCTGCCCGCTCCTTCCTCCACTCACTCGGCAACATGGCCCGGGGCCAGCGAGCCCATGAAGGCACAGGGGGCTCCAAGCAGGGAGAGGACGGTGCAGGAATTAGATGCGTTGCCTCCACGCTGCCATCTCTGGGACAAGCACCTGCAAAACACAGGGAGGGTCCCTGCGGCTCCAGCGGGCTGATGCCAGGATAAGCAAGACCAAACGCAGTCCTGGGGCAGGGCCCCGGGGCGTGTAAAAGCTGGGAGGCCTCCCTCAGAAAGCATCTGGATTTTTCCAGTTTCACTCCTTCAGGTATCTCAGAGGAGGGCTCCACTAACTCAGGTGACCTCCTCCTCAGTTACAATGACCCACCTCTCCCCCAGGCAGAGGGACCTTCAGCCTCCACCTTGATTGCTGGATAACTCAGGAGCCTCTTCCCAAAGGTGTCAAATCTGCTACCTACTCCTGTCCTTGGGGAGCCTGCTTCAGCAACAACTCAGGTCAAAATAAGTAAGACAGGGAGCAAACCTGTACGCTGTAACCAATGTAGGAGTTATGTGGAGGGAAAGCTAACTTTTACCATGTCAAGGTTAAGGGGTGCCTGGGTGGCTCAGTCTGTTAAACATCCGGCCCTTGGCTTCAGCTCAGGTCACAGTCTCGTGGTTTCGTGGGTTCAAGTCCCATGTCGGGCTCTGCGCTGGCAGTGCTGAGCCTGCTTGGGATTCTCTCTCTCCCTTTCTCTCTGCCCCTCCCCCATTTGCACTGCCTCTCTCTCAAAATAAATAAACTTAGGAAAAAAATTTTTTTAAAGATTTAAAAACGCAATGTCAGGGGCGCCTGGGTGGCGCAGTCGGTTAAGCGTCCGACTTCAGCCAGGTCACGATCTCGCGGTCCGTGAGTTCGAGCCCCGCGTCGGGCTCTGGGCTGATGGCTCAGAGCCTGGAGCCTGTTTCCGATTCTGTGTCTCCCTCTCTCTCTGCCCCTCCCCCGTTCATGCTCTGTCTCTCTCTGTCTCAAAAATAAATAAACATTAAAAAAATAATAATAAAAAAAAATAAAAACACAATGTCAAAAGTTAAAAAGATTATTGGAGGGGCGCCTGGGTGGCGCTGTCGGTTAAGCGTCCGACTTCAGCCAGGTCACGATCTCGCGGTCCGTGAGTTCGAGCCCCGCGTCGGGCTCTGGGCTGATGGCTCAGAGCCTGGAGCCTGTTTCCGATTCTGTGTCTCCCTCTCTCTCTGCCCCTTGCCCGTTCATGCTCTGTCTCTCTCTGTCCCAAAAATAAATAAACATTGAAAAAAAAAAAAAGATTATTGGATGAAGACCAGTTTTTCTCCATTCCCCCCCTTTTTTTTTTGCAGTTTTATTGAAATATAATTGCCATATAACAGTCCATAAGTTTAAGGTATACGATGTGGTGATTTGATATACACACGTATTGCAAAATGATTACCACAATAAGGTTTGTTAACACAACATCCCATCACATAATTACCTTTTTTTCCCTCAGTTTTTCTCTATCTTTGCTGGAAACCTAACTCAAGGTGTACTCCGAGGAAACTAACTGGAGATACACCCGAAGGACTGCATTGTTCTCAACAACAAAAATTATTACTTATGCATGTTCAAAGCACTGGAACGATTTCTCATTGTGCTCCAATAATACTGGGAGGTAAACAGTGCAGGTGTTATTTATATTCTTCCAGTTCCAAAAACAAGAGTAACTGTGGCCTCACAGTAAGAAGAACCACTAATTAAGAAATAAATGAAACAGGGGTGCCTGGGTGGCTCAGTCGGTTAAGCGTCTGGCTTCAGCTCAGGTCACGATCTCGCGGTCCGTGAGTTCGAGCCCTGCATCGGGCTCTCTGGGCTGATGGCTCAGAGCCTGGAGCCTGCTTCATATTCTGTGTCTCCCTCTCTCTCCGCCCCTCCCCTGTTCGTGCTCTGTCTCTCTCTGTCTCAAAAATAAATAAACTTAAAAAAAAAGAAAGAAATGAAACAGAATTTTTAGGCTAAGGTATTTTGGCACACAAGACTTAACCCTGTGGTTCTCTTCAGCCTTGGGAAAAGGTGTCCGTGATCTTATTAGAAAGGAAACTATTTGGGGTGCCTGGGTGGCTCAGTCGGTTGAGCATCCCACTCATGGTCCGTGGGTTCGAGCCCCACGTCAGGCTCTACGCCGACAGCTCAGAGCCTGGCGTCTCCTTCGGATTCTGTGTCTCCCTCCCTCTCTGTCCCTCTCCAGCTCATGCTCTGTCTTTCTCTTGCTCTCAAAAATAAACATTAAAAAAAAAAAAGAAAAGATACTAATTTGTAAAAGGTCAAACATTACTCAAGCTATGAGGTTTAGAGAAATTTTCATGCAGATTAGAAAGGGGGAGCCCAGTGGGATTTGACTTGCTCAGATCACACCAATACTTCATGACAAAGCTGCTGTCAGAACCCAGGTTTCCTTACTCCCTAAACCACTGCAATGCGCTCTATATTTCTGAATCGAAAGTAGTTAGGCCCCAGCTTGGATGAGGTTTCACAGAAAGGTTGCACACTTTGGCTTTGTGGAGATCCTTCAAAGTCACACGAATACCCAACTTCCTGTGCAGAAATGCTCTGCTGAGCAAGAGGATGCTTTCTGGAAGGCTCTTCTTGGCCTGGACTCTGGGAGGCAGGGCCGTTCCTCAGGGGTCTGGCCAAGTTCCAGGTGGCAGCTCCTGAGAGTCCCAGCTGCCCGTGGAGCACAGAGAGTCTGGGACAGATGGGGCTGAGGTGCCCACTTGGGAAGGCCTGGGTCCCCACTTGGGCTTGCCCATCTGGGAAGCACAACAGAGTCCAGAAGGTGGGCTGGGTGGGCTAGGCACATGACAGACAGAGGCCCTATAGGCAAGGGCTCTGCTCAGCAGAGGAGCAGAGCTATGGGTCTGGGGGAGAGGGGGGTACACCCTGGGAGCAGAGAGCATGGAGAACATGGGAAAGGTCTCTTTAGAGAGGCACCTTCCTTTGCGCCCACCTTCAGAATGAGCTCGTCCTAGTGGGAGCCCCGAGGATCTCCTTATCCTAACCTCTCCCCCTAAGTAAGCTCAAAGGGAATGGGCCTGCAGCTCTTGTGAAAAGCAGGCACTCCGGTTCCTCCCCGGGCCCTCCGGTCCTGGGATCCACACTGTTCTCTTGAGAGGAGGCCCAACTCCTCACGGTGCACTGCATCCTGGGGCCAGCTTGACCTGGTAGGGAGGGGGGCTAGGTGTACAGAGCAGCATCCCCTTGTGCCCCTCCCCCACTGTCCCCGTGCCCCTGGCAAGGGCTCTAACCTCTGGCAAACAAAGCAGCCCAAAGCAAAGGGTCAACTCCGTGAGATGGGCAGAGGGAGCACAGGAGACAACCGAGGCCTGGAGCACTAGATTCCTAGGCGTTGTAATTACTGCTCTGCCACTCAGTAACTATGTGGTCTCACGATTCTTATTTAATTTCTCCACATATTTAGCTGCTTCATCATCTATAAAGAGAGGATCCGACTGACCCTTCCATACTGCCCACTGGCTGCTGTAAGGAAATTATGTGGTAATGCATGTGACGGGGCTGGGTGGACCCAAAGATTCTAGCCCACAGAAATGCCCTCTTGGGATTGCAGTGATTAACGGTGAGGTTCTTATCAAGAGTAAATGTAAGAGCCAACCAGCGACTCTTCCACTTTTACCAGACAACCAAGAAAGACGCTGTGTTTTGTAAAAAGGACTTCTCGTAAACTCCTTTTGGAATTTAGCGCCAGGGAAACACGTTGGTGATGGCACACGAACCAGCTCTATCCACCACCCACAGCATCTCCAAATACACCTCCAGTGCCAGCAAGGCCTTGAAGCTAGAGGGAAGCTCAAATACCACGGTTTTAAATGTTCCTGCGGTCTAACTGCATACTTATTGTAAGCTACCTCAAGATTTAAGAAATAGATGAGATATACGTGGTAGATAAATTAGAAGTAAATGCTGGTAAGAGGCAAGTGCAGCCGCCTTTTTGTTAAAAAGAGAGAAGCTGGTCGCGCACCTTACTAGCTCTGTGCCCTTGGTTAAATCTCTTCATCTACCTGCTTATGGGTAAAACGTGGATAATGATTCCTGGAACGGCAACTGGCGAACACAGTGCCATCCAAAGCCTGGGCTTTATTACTAACGGCCTCAATTCCTTCCCTAGGTCCTCCCGGGCGGAGGGGACGGGACACCAGCTCCCGAGGCTGGACTCTCACTGTGGGGCCCCTGGCCCCGCGGACCTGGGGTCTGAGCTGCCGGGCTCAAACGTGGGGCTGCAGCGGCCCCTGGGGTGTCCGAGGGGCCCGGGCGCCCCTACCTGCTGTCCGTGTCCTCCTCCGGGTACTTGTCCACTACATTGATGATGTCCAGCACCACTAGCCCCACGCACAGGATCTGCTTGTCTTCCATGAGGCCGCTCCCGGAGCTTTCTGCCCGCCTGGCTGACGGGGTTCCTCCCGGGCTCTGCGTTTTATCCCCGAGGATCGGGTCCCAGCTCCTGGGGCGGACTTGGCTCCTCCTCTGCGTCCTGAGCTCCTCCCCTCAGAAAGCCTTCTGCAGTCTCGAGGGAACGGAGCAGGGCCCTTGCTCCCCACGCCCACCGAGCGGGCCTGGGAACGCAGACCCCCGAGGCCTTGGTTCCCGGCCTTCCCTTAGCAGGTGGCGTGGCCCAGCAGATGGCAACCCTTCCCGCTTCTTGGCCTCATTTCCTCACTTGTCAGGCAGACTCGGAGCTCATGCAAACCTCTCTAGATTGCAGCTAGGCAATCTCCTGAATGCAAAAAAAAGTGCAGTAGAAAGGCGCCCCTTGCCCCTCCCTCTCCTGCACCTGCGACTCCCACTCCAGACCCGAGACCGCGGTAGTGCCGGGCCTCGAAGCTGCGGCCTGGCCCCCTCAGCCCTAGCCTTCCCCGGCGCGTCGCCGCGGCTCCGCCCCGCCCCCGAGGTCCAGCCAATCCCAGCTCGAGGCCCCGCCTCCCCCGCCGGGCAGCTGGGGCGGCTAGGTGAGCAACGGCGGTCACGTGACGGGAGTCGGCTCCCAGAGCCCCCTGGCGGACGCCGGCGGAACGGGCGTTCCGGGGAGGAGCGCCGGGCACGGGCCGCCGGCGCGTGCACAGCAAGTGCGCGCAGAGCCACCGAGCCCGGAGGAGGGGCGACCAGGGTCCCCAACCTGGGGCTTCACCTCCCTCACCCCGTCCGTCCCTTGTGTACTTCTGTCTACCCTTGAATACGTACTGGAGCAGACGGTTTGTTTTGTTTTGTTTTGTTTTTTAGAAAAACCAAGTGTCTTTATTCCTGAATAGTTTAGTATGGCGGTGGGGGCCGGAGCCCGTCGGGAGAGCCCTGCATCGGCCTGGAGGCCAGCTGGAGGAGCAGAAGGTGCGAGGATGGGCTCCTCCGCAGTCGGCCCTGCAGGGGACGGCGAGCAGGCCAAAAGTCTGGACGAGGGGATGCCAGAGTCCCCCACCCGGCACGCTCAGGCCGTGGCGAAGAGATTGCTCTGGGCGCCTGTGCCACAGAGGGGACAGGGACGGCGGCTCGCCTGGGGCTGGCGTGGCGGGACGGAGCCCCACCCCAGGCAGGAAGCCGGGAGAGCCCCGCGGCCCCAGCTGGCTCTTTGGCCGGCGTAGACACTAAGGGCCGGTCGGGCCCAGCCCCCTGTCTACACCTGTTTGGGCTCCAGGTCCTCGTAGAGCAGGGCTCCGCTGAAGATGGTGAGCGGCTCCTCTGAGTGCGCCAGCTGCCCCATGACCAGGTCGATGCAGACCGTGTCTCCAGCCTGCAGCGGCAGGATGAGGCTGAAGACCCCCAGGGCGCCGGGGCTGGGCTGGCTCTCGGCTACTGGCTTATTCTCCAGGCCTTCAGGCTCGTAGCCACCGGAGTCTATGCGGGCCACGCCCAGGTTGGAGCGGGACAGCACGGCCTCCACTTTCTCATGCCGGTGCCCAGTCAGCACCGCGCTCAGAAAGTAGCGCCCGGTCAGTGGTGCTGTGAACACGCCTGGGAACAAGGATGGCAGTCAGGAGGGGAGACAGGTGGCAGGGGCCAGGGAGGTGTTGGGGAGCCCACCCAGAACTCCTGGACTAAGGAGGAACCTGCTGGCTCTTTTCACCTGTCTTCCACTAGAGTGTAAGTTCTACCAGGGCAGGGCATTTGGCGTTTTGTTCGTTACTGCGCGCCCAGCACATTACAGCATCCCCGGGGCCCCAATAAAGAGCTGTTGAACAGAAGCGCTCCTGCCTTCCCCAGCTCACCCCTTACCCAAGCTGTGGTGAAAATGGGTAAATGAAGGAAGTAGGGATCTCCCCAAACCAGAGCATGAGAAGATTTCCCCTTGTCTGAGGGGGCAAGAATGAGAACATATCACTGCACAGCCTTTCCGGTCTCCCCCATTGCCCAGCCAGCCTGCTTCCAGGCTTACCAGTCTCTGGATCGTAATAGCCCCCATCGTTGAGCAGGACTCTGTCGAAGGGCACTGTGCCTGGTTCAGAGCGTGGCAAACTCAGGGCAGCTGAAAAGGCCACCAGGGGCACAGGGGCTGCTGGTGCCCCCTCCACTCCTGGGTAGGGGTAAAGGGGGGGGGGTTCAGAGTGGATGCTCAGTGCAGAGCTGCCTGGCCCCCTTCCCCTCCTGGGTCTCTACCTCCAGGGCTGCCTGAGGCCTTCCATCCTCCAACCCCTAGTTCAGTTCCCCTCCCTCCAGCACCAGATGAGAGGAACTTACCCTGCTCTCCTTGGGGACCTGTGGGAAGACAGGAGGGAGCAGTAAGAAGGGGGCAGCTCTCACTAAGTCACTCAGCAAACATCTGCTGAATCTCTCCGCTGTGCTAGGCATCACACAGACTCCAAAGCAGGAAGGGGGGTGTCAAGAAAAGGAGGAATAGGGTCCCTTCAGTGCAACTAGCCCCCAGCCTTTCACACCCTACATAGCCCTGTGAGCCCAGCCTTAGTCTTCGATACATCATCGAGGCCACCCTATCCAACTAGCCCATATAGTGACTATCCCAGTTCCTAGTCACTCCCTGTCAGCCATATAGGCCTTCCCCCCATTCCTTGCCCCTTTCCTCCCTTCTCTGTCAAATTCAGAATAGAATGTCGAGCCTAGGGCTGCTAGAGGAGTGGGGGAGTTCCCGCTGCAGTAGGAATCTCACATACCTGGTGGCCCAATGGGTCCCTTTTGTCCATCCTTGCCTGGAGGTCCTGGAGGTCCAGCAGGGCCTGGGGGTCCTTGTATCCCGGGAGGCCCTGGGGGCCCAGCCTCACCTGCGGGCCCTACAGTGACAAAATTCAGTTGAAGGAAAGCCACAAAAGGAGTTTCCAAAGGACAAGGAAAGTCATGGCTCCATGGACAGATGGTGGGGCACCTTGCTGCCCGTGCTGGACACCCGGCTGGCGGAGCAGCACCCCACCCCTGCCCACAGGCCTGTCTGAGCTGCCAGTGGAGAGTGGGGAGCCAGGAGCTTGGGTCATCTGTTGTGGGCAAACCAACCCCTGGGACAGTGATGGGTCTGCCATTCATGCTGGGCAGAGCAAGGAGAAAGTAGATGAGATTAAGACTGGCTACTGTGGGGTAGGGATAGGAGAAAGAAAAGACTTAAAAGGGCCCCCCACCACCACCTCCCACCGCATGCCTTCTCTCGCCCCCTCACCAGTGAGGTCCTTCAGACTGAGCTGGTGAAGCCTGTCCTCCAGCAGCAGCAGGGAGCTGTTAAGGGCACCGAGCCGCCTGCCCAGGCCCGCCTGCCCCCCAAGCAGCTTCTCCAGCAAGGCTGCCTGCGTCTGGCTGGTGCTGTTGGTTTCCCGTAGCCCAGCCCAGAGCCCAGCCACGTGTCGGGAAAGGCCTTCACGCAGGCCCTGCAGTCCCCCCGCCACAGTGTCTAGCCGCTCACAGACTCCTTCAAGACGGCCCAATCGCCCCTCTAGGCTGGGGCACTGGCCAGCTTGGGCCTGTCCCTCTTCCAGGCCTCGGAAGCGCTCCTCACTCTCTGTAGCATGCTCCGTGGCCTCCTGTTGCAGCCTGTTAATCTCAGAGATGATACGGTCCTTGGTGGCTCCCAAGTCAGCCAGATCGGCACCCTGCCCTTCCACGGTGGTCTGGAGCTCGTGCAGTGAGTCATTGAGAGAACTGAAGGTGAGAATAACCTCGGACAGCTCTCCTTGCAGGGCCTGTAGTGCTGAGCCTGAGCTCCCCCCAAACACACTGAAGCCGTCCAGAGGCCCTCGGCTTGGTCCCCCAACCCCGGGGCCGGCCCCGGGGCCCCGTGGGGGTAACAGGGGGCAGGAGCAGCGCTCCACACCATCCCGAAGGCGGCCCAGCTCCTCTTGGACACCACCACAGGCCCCACAGCCCTCATCCCCACGGGCCTGCAGGAGACCCTCCAGTTGGCCCAGCCGTGCCGCCGTGAGGTTCAGCTGCAGCGCGAACTCTGCCGTCGTCTCGTCCAGCGCGTCAACACGCCCCTGGAGCTGGCCCACGACCCCTTGCAGCTCCTCCAGTGCAGCCTGCCGGGCCTCCCCGGCTGCTCCCACTTCGTGCAGGCCTGAGCCCACCAGACGCAGCTGCCCCTCGCTGTCTAGCACCCTGCGCTCCAAGGCACTGAGGATCTCGCTCACCTGGGTGTCCTGCTCCCCCGGGGCCCCGGAGCAGAGCTGCCCACACGCCTGCACAGCCCCTGCCACCTGCTCTTCCAGCAGATCCAGCCGCCCACCCAGCTCTCCGCTCACGTTGGCCAACAGTCCCTCCAGCTTCTCCAGTCGGCCCCGGGCGGCAGGCAGCCAGTGGCCCAGGCCCCCAGGGCGCCCGGGCCAGCCCTCCTCCTGCTCCTGTGAGGGACCCAGAGTGGAGTTGAACTGGTCCTCCAGGCGAGAGAGGCGGGATGCTAAGCTGGTGTAGCCCGGGGGGTGCCCCCCCTGCCCAGCCGCTCCTCCCAGCTCGGTGCCTCGCCGCCCACTCAACACTGTCACCGAGCCGGCCACTACATCCAGCCTCCGCTCCAGCTCTGCCAGCCGCCGGCCCAGCTCCGGAGGGCAGCACTCCTGAAGGGGCCTGCGGCCCGCGGCCTGCCCGGGGAGCTGCCGCTGCCGCTCCTCCACCGAGGTCAGTCGCTTCTCCAGCACTCGCAGCCGCTCTCTGTCCTCCTGCCGCTGCCGGCGGAAGTCATCCAGCCCCGCCAGGCACACGGAGCAGGACTCCTGCAGCCGCCGCTCCAGCTCCCGCGGCAGCTCCTCACTGTGGCCGGGAGGGGCCGGGGCTGGGGCGGGGGCCCTGCCACCGCCGCCACCGCCGCCACCGCCGCCACCGCCGCCGTGATGGTTGTTGAGATGGCCCAGCTCCTGGTCATGGGTGGAGACGCGGTTGTCCAGGAGCTGCAGCTGCTGTTGGATCTCAGTGAGGGTCTCGTGCACGCCAGGGCGGGCAGCTGCATCCGCTGGCTGCTGCCTCCCGTTAAAGGCCGTCTCCACGGCCCTCTGGACGTCTTCCGCCAGGCGCCCGCTCAGTCCCTGCAGGACACCACGGAGGCCCTGCAGCTCCTTTGTCAGGCTCTGCACCTGCTCCTCCAGCTGCTGCACCTTCTCTGACTCCCCAGGACCTGGCAGAGAGGCGAAGGCATAAGGCGGAGGGGCCGGGCCTCAGAGCTCAGTGCCTACCTCCGAGGCCCTGCCTTCCCCGGCTCCAGCAAGAGCTCCTGGCTGAGTCAGCCACTCCTTAGCTGGGTAATTTGGGCAAGAAAAGATGGAAAGAAACTCCATTTACTGAATGCCTCTAGGCCCAATTTGTAACATGGCTCCCCCCACCCCTTACACCAAACTCCACCGGACAGATATCACAGCTTTCCCCGTTCTGTAGACCGTGAGACTGAGGCTCAGGGGACATTAAGGAACTGGGCCATGGATTACGAGTTTAGTAAGTGGCCGAGGCAAGTTTCAAACCCAGGGCATCCATTTGACCACCAAGTCTACTATCCAGAGTTTCTCTCAGAAACTGTTTTCTCATCTGTGAAATGGGAATATGGGGAGGCACTGTAGACCCCATAACAGTGGATGTTCCTGGGGCGGCAAGCACCTGTCCCTAACACCAAGGGACAGGCGAGATTCCGCGGGAAGCCTGCAGGGGCTCTAGCTGGACGGTGGGAGAATCAGCCAGAAGTTCCTGTTTCCATCATTACAGCATGACTATCTCCCTGGCAGGCAAACACAGCACGTCGGTCCGCAGTGCCTGGTGCACACACGACAGGAAAGCAGGGGGGACTGCTGCATTCTGGGACCTGCAGTCTCCAGAGGCCACCGAGGGGCCTGGGACCTGTAGTCGGGTGCAGTGCATGCTAGGACTTGTAGTCTATCCCCGTGGTGAACAAGCTTCTCCCAGGAATTCCCCCTTCCTCCCGAAGTGGCTCGCAACTGGGAAGTATCTCGGCCACATGTGGGCGTGCGTGAGCACATTCTCTTTCTCAGCCTTTTTTTTTTCTCTCCCTCTCTTTCAATCTGCTTCTGTCACACACACACACACACACACACACGCACACACACACACACAGTGCATGGGCTTCACGGGTAGGCAGAGAATCTCAGTGATCTCATTCCCTTCTATTCCCTTCTGACTTTGGGGCACAGGGTTTTTCCCTCTACAACCTGGCCCCACATTTTCCACCCGGTACCAGCTCCCACTTCTCTCCCCAGCGGCTCCCACACTCACCTTCCCCACCTAGTCCACTCAGGTGGCTTCCTGCACTGGAGCCGGAGAGGTTGGGGCGGGCGGGCCGGGGCCGGGGGCGTGGTGTGGTAGGTGCAGGACCCAGCGCCGGGGCAGGACCCTCAGCACAGTCATCGCCCCCATACCCCTGACAGCACCTCCACTCCATATCTGTCACTGTCTTGTAGGCCACTCGGTAACGAGGACGGAGGAAGCTGCGGTACCTGGGAGAGGCAGAGGGAGGCCTCTTTACTCCTCCCTGTACTGTCAGTGACCCTGGGACCTGTCCTCAGAGATGGGCAGCTGCTGGTGGTGGACAAGGCCTGTCCCTCAGGCTGGGTCCCCCTTACTGTCCAGCATGTGTCTGTGCTCAGCTGACAGCTGTCAGCTTTCTGGCCAGGAGCCAAATCCCTGTTCTTCCTCCCCTTGTCCTATGCTGGAACCTCGAACTCCTCCTCTGGGGCCTGACTCAGCCCAGAGAAGGCATTTGGGGGTTGGCAGGGTGGTCTAGGTAACTTTGCCCTCAGTATCCGCCCCAAACTGTTGCCTCGGCATCTTCTCAAATGGTTCTGACCGAAGCCCCTGGTCCTGTCCCTTGCTGCCTGCTTCGCACAAATTCCCTGAGTTGGCTGCCCTCCTTCTGTCCTAGCCCAGCCCCACCAAGTACCCATCCCCCAGCACTGGGGCTCACATGATGCTGCGGGGACACTGGGGCTGGCCCCAGCCACAGGGCTGGTAGTCGGGCTTGATGAAGGTCTCCACTCCATCCTCAAGGACACAGCTCACTGTCCGGGTCACCACATAGGCACACCAGTTCCTGTAGGCACAACCCCACCTGGGCCCAAGGGCCAAGACACAAGCCCCAGAGGAGGGCCCAGGGGCTACCAGAGGGGCTGAGGGAGGGTCAAAAGATGAAGGGCCCCTGGGGACCTGTAGGAGCCAGGACTTTGGCAGGGCAGCTCCCCCCACGCTTTCCTGTGCTGTAAGAGTCGGTAAAGACTTTTCAAGACAGCAAAAGGAAGCACAGAATGGAAAACCACAACTACAAGAAGTTGATTCTCATGGCTGGGGGGTCCTGGGGAGCCTCTGAATTCACACATTCATTCATGTCCCTTTCTGTCCCAATCCCCAGCCTAGCGTGGCCTGTATGAGCCAGCTGGCTGGGTCCCTCTGGTGATCCCCTGGATGCTGGCTTCCACCCACCCCTAAGAGAAGAGGACAGGGCAGGCAGGGGTCCAGCTCAGGGTTAAGTAGAGAATAAGCCATTGATGAACGCTGCCCCTCTCATCGCTTGCCGTTCTACACTCTTGGCCCCATTCATGCTGGCCTTTGATCTGTGTCCGGCTGGAGAGCCCGAAGGGACAGAGCAGCCGCAGCGTCAGAAAGAATCACAGATCACTGGATGGGGCCGAGGAAGCCCTAAGAAGGGATAAAGGTCTGCCGGAGGATACCAGGCTGGGACGCAACGGTCAGCCTGCAGGAAGGCCTGGCCCGTGCCCTTCAGGGGAGTTTTCCCGGGCACCTAACTACGGGTCCCCCTGAGGTAAGGGAGGGACCTATCTATTTAGGGGGCCCTGGAAATGCCCCACGGGAAGGCGGGCTTGTGCAGGGCCACCTGATGGATGGGCTTCCTCTCCCCCTCTTCCCTGCACTAGGGCATATGGCCCCGGAGAGGGTAGCCAAGGCGAGGACCAGGATACCAACCTCCTGACCCACCCTCCCACCCACCTCCAGCCTTGGGCTGGGACCCAGACTCTTACCTGTGGCGGCTGGCAGGCCGGGGGGCGCTCTGGGCCTGGGGTT